GGGGTCGGTCTCTTCTCCCCAGGAACAAGCGCTGGGACGAGAGGGAACGGCCTCAAGCTGCGCCAGGGCAGGGTTGGGTTGGGTATTGGGAAAATTCCTTCCCCAAAGGGCTGTCAGGCCCTGGCCCAGGCTGCCCAGGGCAGGGGCTGAGTCCCCATCCCTGGAGGGATTTAAAAGCCGGGAGATGTGGTGCTTGGGGACGTGGGTCAGTGGTGGCCTTGGCAGCGCTGGGTTAATGGCTGGAGTCGATGAGCTTAAAGGTCTTTTCCAACCCAAACGATTCCATGATTCTGTGATTCTAAAAGCCCTACGCTGCTTAGGCCAAGGATGAGTATTTTCCCAGTGTTTGGGTGATGGGGTCCTGGTCTATCCTGGCACTGCAGCAAACCCTGCTGAGGTGCAGGAGAGGGAAGCCCGCCCTATGCTTACACTGCCCGAGTGGCGGGCGGCTAACATTGATTTAGGCTCTGTGATGCTTTCCATCGTCTGCAGCTTGGATAAGCTCTGCGTGGTTCAGCCGGGAAGGAAGAAAGTGGGTGTATGGAGAGCTGCTGGCAGAGGTTGGGAGTGGGGAGCTTTGGTAAGAGTATGAGGTGGCACGTGGAGGCTGGGGCCCTGGGGAGGCAGATTCGTGGGGTGTTCATCTGTGTGCGTGAGGAGGAATGTGTGGAAGAGTGGATTTGTGGCCCTTCTCTCACCAGAGGTCTGCGGGCAACGGCCTGAGAAACGTGGGAACAGGCAACTTCTCAAGGCTTCCCCCAGCGCTGAAAATCGGGCCCAGTGGCTTTCTGTTTTGTTATTGGTTTTGCAAGAGGGAGGTCAGGACATTTCCTAATCTGTCGGAAACAGAAGGGTGGAGCCTCTCTGGTGCGGGGTTAGGTAAACAGGGCGTCCCCAATACCTGAAGTTTTGGGGTCTGCGCACTAGGAGAGGCGTCCCACCTGATGTCTGGGGAATTTAACCCAGATCCTCCTCCCTGCTCTCATCCTCTTCTCCCTCATCGCTCTGCAGAGCCTCTATGCAGTCGGCAGCGCTGGTGAGCTGGGCAGAGCTGCTGGCCATCTTCATCTTAGGCGTGCTGCTGCTCCTCGTTGGAGCGCTCCTCCGAGCCATGCTGGTCATCGGGCTTCTGCTCTACGTCCTTGTCACTAACTGAAGGCAACGTGGGGAGGGCGCCTCTTTACCGCCTTGTTCCCAGAGCTCTTCAAGAAGGAAATGAGTGGCGAATCGCACCAACCTGAAGAACAGAGGGAGAGAAACAGGAGTAGTCAAAGGAGGAGGGGAGGTATGGCCTTTTTCTGGTTCCCGCGTTACATCTTTGCTTGGCAGCTTTGTTGTCTTCTCTCCCAAAGCGCTGACTTCAGCAAACCCAGATCACAGGTTCAGGCCACTTGTCCCCTTCTCCCTAAGGGGAAACTGAGTCCTGGCATTCCTTCAGCCGCTCCAGGTCCTGCCCTGCTCGGGGCGGCTCCGTCGCGGGGCTTGGGGTCCTCCCCGGGGCTGCGGGGCAGGGCGGGGGGCAGCGCTCTGTGTTCTCCCCCGGAGGGTTTGTAAGCAGTATTTTTTGACTAAAAGCTGGTGTTTTGCAGGTGCTTCTGTTGGAGATATGCGAGAAATAAGGCAAAGGATGTTAAGACAGAGGGCGTTCATCAGCCTCTGTAAAGAGTTAGCAAGACCTGGCCTGAGAGGAGAAACAGGAGGACACTGTAAAACAGTCAAGCAAGGAAATCCCAAGATAAGCATGAGGAAACCAGGCTGGTGGTAAAGCCGAAGTGAGAATCACTTGAGCCATGAGTGAACGATCCTAATTAACGCAGTAAAACCCACGCCTCCAGTAACGGAGCCCCCGGCCCGAGCATAGACCCCTACCCACTGAGCGTGCGCTGTGAATTTAAAACGTCTTAAGTGGCGAGGAGGCTTGTGAGACCCGATAGAAGCAAGGATGAATAAGGAGAATGGTAAAAACACTGGCAACAGCTACTCGGGACGTGTAAAACATCACTGTGTGCACCAAGGGGTGCTGGCTGTGTGGAGCGACCAGGCACCCATCTCTGCGCAGACAGGAAATAAAGAAATATCTGGGCTCTGGGCGTTATTCGGCTTTTTGCACGCCGGTAGCAGACCCCTGCTTTTGGGGACAAGGCTTCGGGGGGGCGGCTCAGCCCCTGCCCCCGGGGGAAGCCGCAGGGCCGGGGGGAGGCCGCTCTGCGCAGGCGCGGAGTCCGGCCCCCCCCCGCCGCTGGCGGGCTCAATTTCCCAGCG